CTTTAAGCAACCGCCATACAATGCTAAGAACATCTAATTCGAGTGGTAAAGATCGGCCCAGTTTTGATTTGTTAAAAACACTATAATAATATTGGCCAAAACAAATCCCTCATTATTTAGGATTTCAAATGCCCTGCTTTTGTTTGATACTATTTACTGCTTCTGCTTGACTTTTGCAACAGACAATTCACTTGCATAACATACAAAATCACCCCCAACAACTTATTAATACCTGGACACCTCTTTTCCCCACCAACTTTTAACTTTTTGCAAGCACCCTCTCAATAATGCAAACTCATGTCCTACTCTTGAGTTTTGATGAGTTTTGATTCCAATATATCCCCACAACTTAAAGAAAAAAAAAATGTAAAAACAAAAAAATGAACTTGCCTAGTAGCTCCAAGGCCTACATTATGAGGAAAAATGGTAGCTCTATAAACATCACTGTGTCCATGGACTGCATCAATTCCATACAAAGTCGGTATTTTCAGACGGGTCGATAAAGAAGCCTTCTGAAAACCGTTAACAATATCAATCCATGTCTCGGGCGATGCTGTTGAGGAAGGCGTACTAATTCCACCACTCAATACACTGCCTAACTCCAAAATTCATTAAGTAAGCAGCAGCACAACTATCAAACTACCAAAAATAAATAATTTGCTGATATCATTGGCAATAATTTTGTTTTTTTTTTTTTTATTTACCTATTTTATACTTTTTGACGACCTCGGGTGTTGCTACGGATAGATCGATTTGTGCCATTTGCCCGATTTTTTCCTCCAAGGTCATCCTTACTAAGAGATCTTTAATCCTCTTGGATATGGGTTGTTTTGGGTTTTGGTATATTGCATACTCAGCATTTGATATTGCTATCCAAAAACAGCATAGCGAAATCGAGAGGAGGAGCGATGGAGCTTTACCCATTTTCCTACTCAAACATTCATTAAATCAAGAGATACAGAGAGAAAAAATAAAAAATAAAAATGTTCATTTTAAACAAAAGAAAGATAACACTTAATTACTAATTACTAATGAAAAAAAA